AACGGCCTTTTAACAGTTTTATAGCCTTAATATATCCTCAATGGATTTCGCCTCCTTTTCTGATAAAATTAAATTAAGCATCTCTTCAGAGTTCAGATTAAAAATATGCTTAAATCAAAAGTCTGTACCTCTCATCAAAGACTAATTATCATTTTGGATCAAGCCCTAACATTTAACTTCTATGTTAATCTTTAATTTTTAGCTTACTCTATTCCTGCCATTTCAGTAGTGAATCCTTGTACTAATTTTTTTTCTATCCTATTTGGGATTTGGCACTTTTTATGGACATTGGTTAATTCTATTCTTACATAATTAATTTTTAGCTTGCTTTTTTTCTATTATCTATTTTAATCAATCACTTTACTTGTATTACTTCCTCCCATGATATGACAGGTGATATCCGTCTAACGGGTCATCTCGGTGATGTAATGAAAGAGTCCATCTCAATTGCGCATACATTTGCTTGCGCTTATTCTGCACGTGGGGCGCCGAAGTCTGACTTCATGAATTATCCAATCTCTGAATGTACCGAGCTCTCGCCTGAGGCTTGCTACCTAACAGAGGATGAGGCAAAAAGTGCTTACAAATTCCTAAGCGATTCACAACTTCATCTACATGTTCCTCAGGGAGCTACGCCAAAGGTATGCCAACTCTAAGTATTCATTCTTCTACTTTCTTTTAAAATTCTCATTAATCTCACTTTCGTTGATAAGGTCCTATCATCTCATCAGAATTCTGTCATCTAAATGGCATAAAAGATCAAATGAAAATTATTCGTAAACTACCATATTGAGTTAATAGTTAAGTATTTTAATATCTGGTTATACAGTTAACTTTGCCATTTGATGGGCATCTCGTCTGATTCCTCTAGAAAGCATAGAATAAGCCTGACTTTATTTAAAATCTGCTATTACTATTTACCATCTGCAAGCTTACCTTGAACAGAAGGATTATATTTTGCATGAATCTGTCTTCTTTGGAAGTGTTATTGGTACTGTAAATTCCATTATAGTGTGTGTCAGTATTATGGTTAAGGAGTCAAGATTATA